CTCTCTCTTTAGAGAAAGCTCCTTCACCTCAGGATCCTTCTCAGCACATCTTCTTTGCAGGGGCCATACATCCTCACAGATTGTCGGAGAGGTCTTTGACCCAGGAAAGGCCGCGAACCACAGATCCAAAGGGAAAAGCCGTTTTCTGGCCCGGGTCTCGCCCGTGGCACGCGAACCCACGGACCTTTCCAATATGCGCGCAACTGGGCTCACCTATCCCCCTCCCGCGGTGTTTGCCGCGAGGGAGCTCGGCTGGGTGAGAAGGCTGGTCACCGCCTGCCCTCTGCTGGCCAGTGGCAGTATTGGGCCCGCGGCCGCTCGACCTGTGCGTCCGATGGATGGAATGAAGGAACGGGCATGTATTGAGCACTTGCTGTATGTCAGGCACTGTACTGAGCGCTGAGGTTGCTCTCACGGAGTTCAAATTAAAATGAAAAGGCAGACACTGACCAAATAGTCATTCATGCAAATATGAAATTACAATCGCCGGCTACGTGAGCATGCGACACGAGGTCTCGGTCCAGCTTGGGGATGAGGGGTCAGGGAAAGCTGCCCCTAGGAGGGGACGTTTGAGCGCCAGGCGCCTCACAAAGTCATTTCGTGTGATCTCAAAACCCCTTCCAGGTGGCTCTCCCCTTTGACAAAGCAGGAAACGGGCTCAGGCTGGGGAAAGAACTTATCCAAGGCCACGCAGCGGGTTGGAAGCAAAGCCGGGAGGACCTAGGTCGGCCCGATCCCAAAGCCCCGGCTTTTCCGCCGCTGCGGCCGGCGGGGCAGGTGGCCGGCCACAGACACATTGCACCTGGCAGCTCCAGAGCCTGGGCCGGGAAGCCTCTCTAAGTGAAAGGCGCCCTTGCGCGCAGGGGCGGGGCGGGGCGGGGCCTTCTCTGGGGGGGGAGCCTGGACGGATCGGGGCCTGCGGAGTCCGCACCAGGCTCTTGGAAGGGGTGGAGCCGGGACCTCACCCTGTCCTGGAGCCGGAAGCGCCAAGTGAGTGGGGGCCGAGGATACTTACTTGTTGAGCCTGTGTACACAGGTAGAGACGGCGGCTCCCGGTCTAGGAGGTCCAGTGCCAGCTCCCCAGGTAGGGCCCAACCCGGGCCGGGAAAGAAATGTCCCTCTCCCCTCCCGCCCTGCCATTCGAGCTTCCTTCCTTTCTGTTTGCGGGCCTGAGTCCACGTCTAGACATCAGATAGGAACGCGGGGGTGGCGGGGCCGGCCTCACTTCGTCCCTCTTCCCGGCTCGGCGGCTGCGGGGGTCCCCTGGACACCCAGAACGTGGAATCTGGAAAGAAGGATATGCCAGAAGCTCCCAGGGGAGGCTGACCCAGCTTTACCCAGGCGGACTCTGTGACCTTGGGGAGGACACCCACCCTCTCTGGTACCGAGTGTCCTTAGTTACAAAACAGGGTCTGACCCTTGTCCTGCCTGCCATGAGACTGGGCGGGTCAGAGGCTCCAGCTGCTGGGGAGGAGATCACATGGGGCTTTCTCTCTTCCAGGGCAATAGCAGTGCTTACACTCCTGTTCCCTCTTGGTCCTTTGTGGAGAGCCACACTCTCCCTCCACCCAAATCTGGGCACCCAGGAGGGCTGAGAGCTCAGACCCAGGGCAGCTTGTTCTGCTTCCCTGTGGTGGAGTTGTGGGCTTGCCTGGAAGGTCTGTGGATGTTCCCAGGGTGGGGGCCGAGGCTTGGGCAAGACAACTTGTGAGGCCTGCCTGGAGCCCACCTGCTCATGTTGCAAATAGTGGGGCCCCCATTGTGTAGGGCTTTGAATGCCAAGTTAAGAAGTCTAAACTCTCAACTGTGGGCAGAGGCGGTGCATCAGAGTCTGACCTGTAGTGGCCCCCAGAACCAGCCTAGATGAGTGGAGCTGACATCATGCTGAAAAAGATGCTGCTGCTGCTAGGTGACACATGTAGACATTATTGCATGCCAGTCTACACAAATTATCTCATTACTCACACATACCTGATGTTATTCCCATTTCAGAGGCTGAAACTGAGGCTCAGAGAAAGTCAGAAGTGACTTGCCCAAGGTCTCAGCTAGTAAACGGCACAGTGGGGATTAGAACCCAGATGGTCTGGTGCCCTTACCCATAATGCCCCTCTGCCACCCACGCTCTGGGCATCTGGTAACAAAGCCTTGACCTAGGACAGCAGGAGGAGAAAGAAGGGGTCAGATGAGCAGGAAATTGGGGGATAGCATTCAGAGGGCTGGGGAGGGAGGGATACCCATGAGTCCTGAGGGACTGACCAGGCTGGGGGTGGGGTGGGGAGATGATGTGGTTGGTTTTAGACATGTTAGTTTGGGGGTGGAAGGCGACATAGGGGAGCCAAGCAGAGCTCTTCTCTTTCTGGAGAAGACTGAGGAGGCAGAGCTGGGTCCCGAGAAAAGAAGGTGCACTCAGCTCTGAGCTAATGGGAGGCCCCCAAAATGCTGAGCAGGCAGATGTGGGGGCATCCACTGGTGGGATGGGGGGCAGGGAGAAGAAGGAATTCTAGGCTCCCATGACATTAGAACTGAGATGGGTCTGAACAGTTGAGGCATTGTTTTATAGAAGGGGAAACTGGGGCCAGCAAATTACTTGCCTGAGAATACTCCATGGTTGGATCCAAGTGGAGTCTGAATGCCTTCTGGTGCCATCTCTGCGGTTTCTATTAGATCAGTAGTTCTCAACTGGGGGCAATTTTGTCCCCCAGGAGACATGGGGAGGAGGTGCTACTGGTATCTAACAGGTAGAGGCCTAATCGGTAGAGAGATGCTGTTGTGCAGTGCACAGCCCTCCACAACAAAGAATTATCTGGCCCCAAATGGCAATGATGCCGAAGTTCAGAAGCTGTACCAGAGCAAGCTGAGCCTGTCATCCTCCTCCCCTTCCAGCTCTTTTGCCCCCAGCAGGGCGAATAGTTCAGGCCTGGTCCTCCAGCTGGGCACACCTTTGTCCCCACCCCTGGTGTGCCCCTCCCATGCTTGCTTCCTTATTCCTGGAAGCTTCTGGAGTCCTCTCTGCTTTTCCTGGGCACAGTGGTCTAGAGACTTTCCAGCAAATGTCTGTTCTTGTCAGTCTGTCAGTATCTCCAGACCTGTACTCAGAATTTGGTGTTAGATAGGAAGAAACCGAAGTGGGAATTTTCACCTAGCACATAGTTGGTGCCTTGAAGAGAAAATATTTATTGAGTCTGAGTGATACGTTAGGGGTCCAAAGAGTTTCATTTTATCTCATTTTCACTTTAGCAATTCTAGTTGCGCTTTATGTTTGTGAAGCTCTGACACAGAAAGAATCCACTGCTTCATCTGATGTCCCACGTGTACAGGATACTGGCATTATGAGAAGTGGAGACTTGTGTGGGAGTCTTATCCAGGCTCTTCCAGGAGTAGGCTGTGGACTGTGAACACTGAGACAGTTCCTCCCAAACACTAAAAGGTACAGGAATCACCTGGGGATCTTGTTGAAATGCAGGTGCTAATTCAGTAGGGCTGAGTTGGGCCCAAGTTTCTAGTTTCTAACAGGCTCCCAGGTAGTGCTGACGCTTCTGGTCCAAGGGTCACATTTTGAGTGCCAGGCATTATGGGCTGTGCAGAGGTGGCTGTGGGCTGGGCTGCCCTCTCTGCAGACAACTGTGGTGTGGTTTGGGGACCATGGAGTGGAAGGAGCCCATGGTATGAAGTCAGAAAACCTGGATATGAGTCATCACTCCCTACTCCCCATCTCCCATGCCCTCTATAGGGCCCATTAGCTAAATAAAGCTTGCATAAGTCGCTCAACCTTGGATAAGTCACTTAGCTTCTTTGAGGGGTGGTCTTACCTGGCAGACTGTCCTCTGAATTCTAATTCAGGGTCTGAGAGAGGCAAGTGGCCTGTGGGGGTGGGACTGTCTAGATCCTGGCCAGCAGGGCAGAGGTGATGAGCCGAAGTTGGAGGGGCAGGCACAGTGCCAGCTTGGAGGTGGCTCCCATTTACAGCCCTGGCTTTCCTCTGCAGCTGCCACAGCCTCCTGCTTCTGGCTCACCTAGCCCTGCCTGTTGTGGGAGAGCTGGAGGGACCTGTATGGCTTGGTGAAGGAGCTGCATAAGTGGACCAGGGGCCAGCCCAAGGCCTGAATGTGGATCTGAGGGCCCAGCCGGCTGAGCCCTAGTCCGAGGTATAGGGTTCAGGACTGAAACCAAGGGCTGAGAACTACGGCCTGGAGACCCTGGGATCAGGCTGTGGGCCATGACAGGCTTCCCACCAGGGATGCTGGGAAGGAATTTGGGGTTTGGGGCCTTAAGCCCCCAGCCATAGGGGATCCCCAGCCTTGGGTATCTGACCTCAGGAATAGGGCTGAGCAGAGCCTTAGGTACCTGGGATACTCCCTCCCCTGGTCCCCCACAAATCAGCCACAATGGCCCAGCGAGGCTCCTTCCAGCTCCTAGGACCAGGAGGCAGCAAGACAGCTGAACCCATTTCTCAGATGGAAAAACAGAGACCCCCTCCTCCTACTTCCTGGGAAAAGAAGATCACCCTTTAGGCTGTCGCCCATTACCCAGCAGGGCCCAGGGCCTAATATTTCATGAGACTGCTGCGATTGCCTGCCCCTTCCTGTTTACACAGTTGGGCCATTCCAGTGATTCACACCAGGGCTTCTGGGTGTGACCCACACAGGCCTGGGTTCAAATCCCAGGTCCTTTCCTTCCTAGTTGTGAGAACCTGGACAAGTCACTCCACCTTTCTGAGCGTCAGCTGGCTCATCTGTAAACAGGAATAATAACACCCGCTCGGCCAGCCTCACAGGGTTGTTGTGAAGATGAACTGAGCCATGTGGTCATTATCATTAGTCATGGCATTTAGAGGCACAAGGCAACCTAGTATTGTCTTACCCTGTCCCTTACTTTACAGATGTGGAGACCGGCAGTCGGAGAAGGTAGGTGGCTGTCCAAGGGTCCCACGGCAGGCTGGTGGGTGAGTCAGGGCTAGACCCACAGCTTCCTCCTATCCCACGGCGGCTGCCCATCAATGCAAAGGCACTCCAAGGCGTGACACAAATGTAAGCCCGGGGATCTGGGTGGTTGGGCTGCTGGAGCCTCCCCACGGAGAAAGCTGGACCAACCAGGGCCTTGTCCACAGCACCATCTCCCTTTGCCAGCACCAGCCATGAACTACATGGGGCAGCTGGCGGAGACAGTGTTCGGGACGGTGAAGGAGCTGTACCGGGGCCTGAACCCAGCCACGCTAAGCGGCGGCATCGACGTGCTGGTGGTGAAGCAGGTGGACGGCTCGTTCCGATGCTCGCCCTTCCACGTGCGTTTTGGCAAGCTGGGCGTCCTGCGGTCGCGGGAGAAGGTGGTGAGTTCTCTGGCTGGCCAAGGTGGCCACTGCAGGTGGGGCTTTTAGAGCTGGCACAGCCACTGCAGTCCCAGGAGAGGACCTGGGGCCTTCCTTAGGTGGTGGTCTGTCCTCTGGACAGGCTTCCCTTCTTCTGTATTTTCTTTGAAAGGTTTTGGTCTGGGGGGGGTTCCTGTTTTCCCATGGAAGCAGCCCGGTGGGGCAGACCCCAGTCCTGGGGCCATTAGACTGGCTCCAGCTTACGAAGACCTTACCTGTGTGTTTTTGGCAAATCACATCGTGTCTCTGAGCCTAGTCACTTCACCTACACAAATGGATACAATCTCATCTGCCTAGTGACGTGATGGTGGGTGTTTTGGGAGAAGTAAATAGGAACTGATCATGCTTTCCCAGGGTCAGGTATGTGGATGACACTCAAAGATGAGTTCCTCTCTCTTGGTGAATTCACACCATCTTCATTGGGCTCAGGTGAACGTGATAGGCGATGTTAGCATCGAGTCTTGGTGTGTGAGTAGAGGTTTGGTAGATCCAAATCCTATTCACGTTGAGGTGACTGAACTTTTCAGAATCCTAATAGGAAAGTATAATCTGTGGGAAACAGTACATCTAAGGGGTTAAGAGCTTGGGTTATGGATGGACCCAGACATTTTGGGCTCATAGATTCACATGCACCTCCCAGCCAATTACTTAAACACCCGAGCCTCAGTTTCCTCTTCTATAAAGGGGGATAATGATGAGAGCTACTGCAAGGGATTGTTATGAAGATCAATGAGATAATCTGTATAAAACACCAATGAAGTAAATGGTAATTCTCGCCATTGTTCTTGCAGCCAACCTGGGGGCTGGGGACACAGTAGTGACAAGACAAGTCATGTCCCTATTTTAGTGGGGTGTGGGAGAGAGAGGAACATGGAAACCAGGCAGTAAACAAGCAGCCAGACATGCCAGGTCTTGGGGAGACAGCTCCAGCCAGCTCCGAGCTTGGGCAGCAAGGAGCTGGTGTCTTGAGGACCAGCCAGGAGGCCAGTGGGCTGGAGGTGGGAAGGTGAGCCTACCTTCCATGTGTACACCACCCCACCATTCCCCATTGCAGGTGGACATCGAGATCAATGGAAAGCCAGTGGACTTGCACATGAAGCTGGGGGACAGTGGGGAGGCCTTCTTCGTGCAGGAGCTGGAGAGCAATGAGGTAAGCACCACTGTCCCAGCTGCACTTGCCCTGCCCCTGCACCAGCACCCCCTCTGGGTGGGGCCTTGGGATTGCTCACTGTCCCCACTCTCAGGAGTACCTCATCAGCAGAGGTCTGATGCAACAGGGTCAGTTGGGGCTGGCCTCAGGCACTTGTGATCTGCTTTGGAGTCCAGGCTACTTTCCAGGAGGTTGGGAAGGTTTCTCAGAAGAGGGGACACCTGAGCTGGGCCCCTGAGGGATGAAAAGGAGGCCCCCTCTGGGCAGCTTGGAGAGGAGGAGGGTGCTGAAGAATGCCTAGGGGGCTGGAAAGCGTAGGGTCTGGCTTATTCAGGGTCTGGTGCCAGCTCTGTGTGGCTGGAACAAAGAAGCATGTGGGTCTGGGGTAAAGAGAGGAGTATTTCAGAAGGAGGCAGGGCCCAGCACAAGCCAACAGAGGACTTTAAAGTGTTTGGACTTGACAAACTTTAATTGAGCCCCTACTGTATCCCAGACACTGTACAGTGAACTCAGAGAAGGGGCGATCACTTTCTCCAAAGAAAGTTCCAGACTAGTCTGGGAGATAGACACGTGAACAATGGATGATAGAAACTATTTGGCCATTGCAATAAAGTGCGTTGCAACCGGGGCTGGGGATAGTCAGGGCAAGCTTCCTGGAGGAGGTGACGTCTCACTGAGTCTTAAAGGAGAAGTAGGTGTCAGCTGTCATGGACTTGGCTGGAGGAGGCAATGGGAGACTGACGTGTAGGTTTCTGCCTGGCCTGCCGGGGTGTCAGGTGCCTGGGATTGGGGCTGCTTTTTCTCTGTTAGGGACCTCGGTGGTCAGCAGCAGCCACACATCCATGCTGCTGCTACCTCTATACAGCCTCCATGCCTGTTTACCTGACCCTAAATGAGCTTGCTCCAGGCCCTGGGACAGACAGGGCTCAGCATGACTGGGCAGTGAGGGCGGCCCCGAGGCCCCATCCCCCAGCTCTGCCCCTGCTCTGCTCCGCAGGAGCCCATGCCTCCCCGCCTGTGCACCTCACCCATCCCTTGGGGGGGCCTGTCTGGTTTCCCCTCGGACTCCCCACTGGGCACAGCCAGTGAGCCTGAGGGCTTCATCATCCCAGACATGGCCTCTATGGGGCGGAGGAAGAGGCGTCGCAGGAGGAAACCCAGGCGGAAGGAGGATGCCGTGGTGACTGATTCCAGTTCCGAGGATCTGGAGGCAGGCACTGAGAGTGACCTGTCCCTGCAAGAGAAGCTGAGGCCAGAGCCCCCAGGGTGTGTAGGGACTGGGGCGGGAGCGGGGACAAAGTTATGGGGATAACAGCTGGAGTTCAAGGGCTGTTTCCTTTGCTGATGCTGTGTGACCCCGGATGAGGGCCTTGACCTCTCTGGGCTTTAGTTGCTTCATCTCCCCAATCCCCGGACATCCAAGCTCCCATGCTCTGCCTGGGGTGTTCTGTCCTGTTAGTGACCATTTCCCTGTGGCCCCTCAGCAGTGTCCAGTCAGAAGGGAAGTCCTCACCACAGCTCAAAGACATCTTCCCCTACTCTGATGGCGAGTGGTCCCCCCAGGCCAGGTGAGAGTCCAGGTGGGCTGCAGGCCAGGATTCCAGACCAAGGTCTCAGAGTGGTTTCAATTTACATTTTTCTGATGACTAATGACATAGAGCCCATTTAATGTGTTTATTGGCCATTTGTATTTCTCCTTTGTAAAGGTTCAATTCTATAACATAAAATTTACCATTTTAACCAATTCAAAATGTACAGTTCAGTGACATTAAGTGTATCACCACTATCTGGTCCCAGAACTTTTTCATTACTCCAAATGGAAACCCTATACCCCTTAATCAGTTACAACCTTGTCCCCCGTTCCATTTTTTAAACAGATTGCCTTCTTATTGTTGATTTGTGAGAGCTCTTTATATATTTAAAAAATTTTTACATATTCTTTATATATTGTGGATTCAACAGAGGCATAAATATGTCCTGCAAATATTTTTCTCCCAGGCTGGGGTGGGTGGCAGGAGGTGGCAGGCTGATGTGGGGCCTCTAAGTACTTGTCTCCTACAGCCTCTTGTTGAATGGGTTGACATCCCCTAAGAGTGACTCAGAGCTGGAGCTGCGGGCCCCAGAGCCCGGTCCCCTGCGAGCTGAGTCCCACATGCAGTGGGCCTGGGGGAGGCTGCCTAAGGTGAGTTCCTAAAGTGTCAACCCCTAATCCCTGCCTTTCAGGGACTCCGTGGCCACCTCCTCTGAGGTTCTGTGGGGCAGGAAAGGCAGCCTCTGCACCAGCTCACATCTTCCCCTGTTTGTTCCACTGAAGGTGGCTAAAGCTGAGCAGCCCAAGCCCTCCATGGTCCCTGAAGGCAGCGCCAGGGCAACCACCTCTCCTCTTCAAGAAGGGCCCAGCACCACTTCCTCCTCCGTGGCTGGTGTGGACCCTTTGAGACCCCCAATCCTGCAGATGGGGTCTGGCACTGACCTGCTTCAGCCTGGTACAGAGGATTCCATTCTGGTGGGTCCCCTACTGCCTACTCTAGAGAGAGAGGAAAGCACAATGCAGCACGCCAGGGAAGCAGGCCTCCCTCCTGCCTCTAAATCATGGAGCTGGGCCACTCTGGAGGGCCCCACACCCACCGGGCAGCCAGAGGGGGCCCCCAAGAGGAAAGGTAAGTGATGGCTAGGCACCCCCCAACGCCCCACTGCTTCCCCAGCCTCACATTATCCCCTGGGTGGGCCCTGGGACTTCAAGTGCATTTTGAACACCTACTGTGTGCCAGGTACTGAGGTTGGCACCACCCCTCCCAAGGCTGGTATCCAGCAGGGACACAGATGACAAGTGTGTAAACTAGGAAGGGCATGATGCAGGCGATGTGGGGCAGAGGAATCGTTGGGATGGGGGCCATTTAAATCACATGGTCAAAAAGGCCCTCTGAGCAGAGGATGCTGTAGCTGAGATGTGGATGACGAAGATCCAGTCAAGTGAGGAGCAGGGGAAGGGAATGCTAGGCAGAGGGGACAGCACGTGTCAGGGCTCTAAGGCGGGAAAGGTTTCATGTCCAGGAACTGAGGGTGGCTGGGGTGTCTTGAGCGAGAAGGGGGAGAGAGTTGGGATAGGAAGTAGGGGAGATGAGCAGAGCCGGATCATTCCGGGTTTACCTAAAAGCCATGGGAAAGCACCAGGCCTGTGCTGGCCACGTCGGTAGCCACTGGCTGTACGCAGCTATTTATAATAAAATGAAAATTAAACAAAATTTAAAATTCTGTTTCTCCATCTCACTAACCACATTTTTTTTTTTTTTTTTTTTTTTTTTTTTTTTTTTTTTTTTTTTG